TTCCGAAGCCGGACCACATGCTGCTTGTGCTTTGACCGTCTTCCCAACTGCGGACGACTTCACGATCTCGGGCCCGCTGTTCCGTGTTCTCCTCCTTCGCCGGTTGCTCCTGCCTGTGCCAGTCGGCCCGCGGACCTGCAGCTGCCGTCGCGGCCTCGATGCACTTGGTGACCGCCGTGCGGCCTGCGCCACATCGGGTGTACTCGGGCCTTGGCCCGTGTTTGCCGCGAGGGAGGCGCCTGGGTCGTCCGCAACGTCCGCATCGCTGATATGAACGTTGACGTAGGCCCCCTGGCAATACGCCCAAGGGGGGGGGGCAATTAATCGCGGCCCGGCACATTATACCGAGTAGGACGTTTCCTGTGTTCATGTCAGTGGGAGTGCGGTAGTGGGGTTAGAAATCAGGACCGCTCCTCACATCCTGTGACGGTTTCCTGTTCTGTAGCTTTTGTGAACTGCTGGCTGACAAATGTTTCATCAAGTTTCGGGTGTGAGAGACGCCAACAGCCTGGTGTGGCTTGTATGAGAGCACATAATTGGGTGAGAGTGCAGTCACCATCCCATTCCCGGGTACATATCCCCCTTGTTCTGTGCCACCCATGGAAAAGATCTTCCACAATGTTGGGTAGAAAGATGTGGAAAGCCTCGAGGCCAGCTCCACGCGGGATTCCTGTGGCTTCGGAAATCCTTCGTATAAGAGACGCCAGCAGTAGCAGGGGCATAACTGCTCGAAATTTGCAGCCCCGGGAGGGGGGAGGCGGCGTGGCTTGTATGAGAGGAAGTAGGTCAGTGACAGTGGAGTCACCACCCCATTGTGATCCTTGCAATACTTGTGCCGACAATGCCGGTGCGGCCTTTGGTGCTTCTCCAGCTTTCGATTGCTTTTTACAACCCCAACCGCTGAAACCACATGGTAGAATAGCCTAAACCCGCAAAGTTCTGGACGAAGCCCCCGCCGGTCAGAGTCGCCTGCCGTTGCGGCCCTGACGCAAGTAGCGTAGCCTCAGGTAGACTAGTTAGCTGCGACCGCGGCTAGAAGCTTGTTCGTTGGGCAGCTCGAAAAGTAAATCTGGAAAAAAAAATGTTCTTGCTGCGTATTTTTAAAATTATTACAATAATTATGGTAGTACATGCTACACAGCAGCATTGGTCCTCGTCAGCGACACACGAGCATCCCCAAGAATGGGCCCGGGCTCATTTTTCCGAACCACCCCACATTACCCGACCCCTGTTAGGGGGTGGGCCTGTTGACGTGCCGATCAACGACGGCCGCCGCATCGAGGTCGTCTGCAAGGGCCTGGATGTGTGGCACGGAGCGCAGCTCGCAACCGATACCACTATCACGCGATGGGCTTCCTCATCCAGGCGCAGACGTTCGACCCGGCGTCGCGCTGAGCGAAGGAAACGGCGCGAGACGTACCCTGAGCTCCTGCGCTCCCGCCGTTGTCGTCTCGTCGTGTTTGGCATCGAAACCGGCGAGCACTGAGGCCGCGGACTCTATCGGCCTCCTTGCTCGAGCGAAGGCTCTCAGTGCACCGGCCTCTCTGCGCCAGGCAATGCGCATCGCTTGGGTGCAGCCCTGGAGCGGCATGCTAGTTTAGCGAGCCTTCGCGGCCTCGCTCCTCGACCTTCCAGCTGACTGCGAGCCCGGTGCTTGCCGACAACCCGCCGGCTTTGCACGAGGTGCTCGCTGATGCGCGCTGGCGCCGCCCCAGATCACAGCCGCCTCCCTGCACGGCTCGCGTGAACCTCGAGCCACAGCGTGCCGTCTCCGTAGCTCGCAGCTTGCACTGGGACCGCTTCGCACTTCCGGAAAAGGTGCGTGGGAAAAAAATAGGCTTATGACCACTTGTGCTTTCTGGACGGTGTTAAGATATTTGATGAGCGAGGTTTCGCAAACATTGGGGATGACCGGCGACAGTCTTTTTGCTTCGGGAATTATTTGTTCTTCCCATGCCCATTTGACACTGGACTGTACACGAGGCTTTCATTGCTTGACTGGGGATGACCAACGCCATCACTAGGACCCGGGACGATGACACGCTTGAGGTTGAAGTCGATGACTGCGAAGTGATCCTTTTCATGCAACATTGTGCCAGGGTTGAGCCCTGGGTCTCGAAGATTCTGTCCCGACTCCAGCATGCCCTCATGCAACTTCGAGGTCAATCGCCATCTGTCGCTATATCGTCGCTGGTTACGACAACGCATAGCACATTCGCACTGACCTACGGTCGCCAATCCATGGTCGGACCAGCTGCAAGCGCTGTTGATGGCGGTGCAGGCGGACGTCCAGGAGCCGGCACCGGAAACTGGGATGGATGAGGCATGGTGGTTGTCGGCTTGCGTCAAGCTTTGGCAGACAAGCATGCAGCTTACTGGGCTTCCTGGTATGACACCCCCCATGACATCCGCGTTTCGTTGTGTTTTCTTTTTTTTTCGAGCCTGATGCAGGAAGGCTCCCTTCCATTGCTGTTGCTGCTGCTGCTGCTGCTGCTGCTCAGGCCGCCCGCCTTGCAGTGCAAGGTTTCCATGCCTTGCCCTGACAGGAAGTCTTCCAAGCTGCCCCAGTCGGTTCTCCCAGAGGCGAGGAACCGACGCACTACCTGCGTGTTTGCCCGAGCTTGCGAGGACCGGGCGCTTGAGACGCATCTTAATGACCTTCCACCTGCGTCTCGTGCCTTGTTGCTTTCCCAAGCCAGACCCCATGCTGCCCGTGCGCTCACGGCCATGCCCACGTCGGTGACTTCACAATCTCCGGCTCGCTGTTCCGAGTTCTCCTGCTCCGTCGCTTCAGCCTTGATGCCCTCGGAGACCACCGCGCGGCCTGTGCCGTATCGTGCATGCTCCCGACAGTCGCTGATATGAACATTGATGTTCCAGTCAGCGATGCACGGCGCATCGAGGTAGTATGCAACGGCTTGCCTCTGTGGCATGACAAACAGCTCGCCGTCGATGCAATAACTATTGTGTCACCCTGACGCGTGATGGCCTGCCTCACCCAGGCGCCGATCTTCCCTGCGGAGCGAAGGAAACGACGGGAATCCTTTCCGGAGCTGCTGGATCGTTGTGTTCGGCACCGAAACAGGGGGGTTGGAGCCAAGAAGCAGGGCCCTTCACCCGCCTCGAACATGCCCGGGCCCTGAGCGCGCCAGCTCCCCTTCGACATCCTTCGACACGCTGCGCGAGCTGCCTGGGCCCGGCGATGGAGCGGTATGCTTGCATGTCGTTTTTCAGCGCACCGTCGCTTCATCCCTCCTCGAGCTCCCTGCTGACTCTGAACTTGGTGCTGCTGGCGAACCGCCTGCTCTGCGTGAGGTTCTGGCCGGCGCACGCTGACTCGTGGCGCCAGAGCCCAGTAGCTTGCCGGCTCGGCTCCCCGAAGCCTGTGCGTTGCGTTCCCCCGGGTCCGCCGTAGTCTGCAGCCCTGTGCACCGGGACCGCTTTGCTTCTGGTGAAAAAGTGTGAAAAATTACAACATTCTTTTTCTTTCTTTCACCCGACCCTGTTTCCTTCCGTGTGCGGGAAATCAACACATTCTGTGCGATGACTTTTGCCATTGGCCTCTGTCGCGACCTCGGTTTATGCAGCGCGCAACAGCAGCGCGGCCATGCAGTGCCGCGACTTTGAGTTTTGGCGGGGCATAAGCCTATTCCTTGTCACGCAAAGCACACTTTGTGGCACGGAGGGCCGTGCAGGTCTGTCGCTCGATATGTCACGGCCCGCCGCCGACACCGCACAGCGGCATCGGGGCGACGCGCCACTACCATAGGGACGGCGCCGCGGGAGCGCGCTAATTTTGTAAACTCTGGTACCGGAAATCCCAACGGCAGTGCCTGCTCAGCTCGCTCGGTTGCGAGCGCATCGGAGCCTTCCCTTACGTCGAGGAGTTGCCATTCGAGGTTGATTGCGCTGTGGCGGGTTTGGCTGGCGTGGCTGCGCAGAACGCACGCACCGCCAAAGTGCCATGCACCCAGGCGGCGTCGTCAATGCGTGGGTTGAGCGTCGCTGATCCACAGCATTACCGTTTGTGTAATGTTATGCAGCCCGGCTTTGACCGTGCATGTGGCTCTGAGCAGCTCATGCAAAGCAGGGCATCGACAGCAAGCTGTGCCCGTCCGTTCAGGGGCTCACCCTTGTGATGCCCCGCTCGATCGGCATGGCGCAGGCTGTAGGGTCGGACGACCCCAGCTGCAGCATGTGTGGCGGATGCATGCGCACGCGGCAGGATCAATTAGGCAAAATACGCTTCAGCGGTGAATAGATCCAAGGCTATCTGTTCGGGTAACACAACCATCACAACCTAAACTCGCAGTTGGCGACAGCAGCAACATTCGACACGTACGCTTAGCGTTCGTGCAGAGTCGGCGTCCTAGCGATGCCATGGCCAAGCGCAGAATCCACGGCGGCTGCCCGGCGTGATGCGACCTTGAAAATCGTGCCGGAGGAGGCAGGCATAAAAAAATGATCGAAGTTCCTCATAAACAAAGTTTCAATAAAAGTTTCAATAAAAAAACATGCTGTGCAAATTCCGTCACTGATTGTGCGCAGTGCAATCAACAACAGCGAAAAATCTTTGCGTGCGCACACGTCGTACGTGCCAACCAATATTTCATATCCAAGCAACCGTAAACATGCAACTAATTATCGCAGTGCAAGAGCTAGAGGCAAGAAAAGAACAGTGATGTTGCGCGCCCCTGTGTATTAAGGCTTTGAAGGTGGCTCTCTTCACGCAGATCGCAAGTCAACATGTTGTAGTTTTGGCATGTCATGGTCCAGGCCCGGCGGCAGGATTCGAAGCATAGATTTAGTTCCGCCCGTTTGTGTTGTGGCAATACATCTTCAGCGAGAAACAGCAGAACAATACTCTCAACATTTCCGATGTATTAGTTTCGGAAGTGCTAGACTGCTTAGAATTCCACGCGGTCTGTACACAGCAGACAAGACCATGTAGGAACACGTGTTTCGAGATGTTGCGATGATGATCTGTTCCGGACTGCAGAATGCCAGGTGGGCCAGGCCGTGCTAGGTTGAGTTAAGAGCAGGCATGTCCAACCGGAGTTGGCAGGCGGATCGGTGGAGTGTCGTTTGGACAACGCAAGTGACACTTTCATCAATGGCGTGTTTTGCTCTTGGTTCCTTGTTCTTGTGTTCATGGACATGTACATCCCAAAATCCCGAACATGGCATCAGCGCTGAGGACCTGGTCTCTGTTCTTGCGGCCTTGACGTTGCGCGAGAAGGATGGTCGGGTTCGCTTCAAACCCGGAGTATCAGTGAGCCCAAACTGAGAGATGTTTCGAGGACCAGAAGAACCAAAGCGTCGTGTGTGTGGTATTGCTCCCAGTTGAAACTGAGTCGATCAAACCTGATCGGTATATAGCTGAGGCAAGTGGAAATGGTTTGAAATTCACTGCTCAGAGCAGTGGCAAGGACGAGAAGTGCATGAATCCACGAGAGTTGCGGCTATGTAGTTTTGACGGAATCTGCTGCAGGACGTGGCCGTGCTCGGATGGATCTTCAAAGATGCTTTTGCGGAGTGGGCCAGCAGTTGGAGCCAACGGTTCAGGTTTGTTTCTTCACGGCGGGCGAATGCTGTTACTGGCATATCCAGCCTCATGTTTCGGTATCTGTGGTTGTCATTCGTCGGTTGCAGCCGTACACGTGGCTCCAGGATTATCCCGTAGGTCGGCAGATCATGGGCGACGCCGAGCCAGATGGGAAGAAAAAACCCCGAGATCGAAGCAAGAGCTCGGAAAGTGGCACGCCGGACTGGTTGCGAGAGAGGCGCAAGAAGGCAGCCCGTGGGGAGTTGAAAGAAGACAGAGGAATGATTGGAGGAGGCAAAGGGGGAGATTTTGGAGATAAGGGCGGCAAAGGTGGTGGGAAGGAGCCCAGGCCAGGTGACTGGAAATGTCCGTCATGTGGGGCCAACAATTTCGCGAGGAGGACAGAGTGCTTCAAGTGCGGCACGAAGAAGCCTCCCGAAGGTGGTGGAGGCCGCCGTGACTCCCGCTCCAGATCGCGCCGGCGTCGTTAAGTGCCTTCAGCTGAGGGGCCGCGTAGCGAGCCATGTAACCGAACCATTTTGCAACAGCTGCAGCTTGTTCATGTAAATGCTTGTGTGAGTATCAATGTCGCAGTGCAGCTGTTGCTGGTTGTATAAGAGCCAATGCGCACATGCAGGCTTCAGTTATCTCGCAGTCAGGATTAATGCAAACAAGGAAAGTTGCAGGCTTAGACAAAATGAGCGTGCGTCCGGACTTGCGAAATTTGGCTGCTTCCTTAGCAACGCTGGATTAAACACCATCCGGAAGGTACAGTTTCCATTCATCCAACGACGAGGCTTCTGAGCACCAACAGCTTGACACGCCATTGACTCCATTTGGGTTTGTGCGCCAATTGCACTCAACGCATGGCAGGATTTGGTTTTGAAGCTTCCCGTTGCACCTTTATTGAGTGCCAGTCTCAAAGGACAAGTGTGTGCAGCAAGCGTGTTTTCGCTTGCCGTTGCAGCTGCTGGAAGCGCACGTCATACTCTTCCAATCCCCTTTCCACTGCACTGAACGTGGTTGTTTCCGTCAAGACGAAGCACTTGCTGTTAGCGCCAAAGGTGCAAAAGCCCGAACAAAGTGTTAACGCTTCCAAGGTTGCCTGACAATATTCACAGAAAGCTGCAAACTCAGCTGGTTTGATAGTTGCCTGACGGATGTGATGCGCCGTGTGGCGTCAGTGATTGTGTGGCACTAATTTGTTAGTAGTTTGCACTTTCGAGGTTGCTGCATCTTGGCTTTAGCACCTGGCATGCCAAGGAGCAGCGTTGATGCTCAGGCAGGTGATGCGGGCCTTTCAACAATCTGCTTGCTTGAAATGCACCGCCAGCCTTTCGTGATGCTCTAGTACATACGGGTCAAGCCCGCTGTGGGAAGACCGACAGTTGCGCAGACCCTGCTGAAGTCATGTGGCTCAGGGCTTGACGTGTAGGAATAGACCGCTGCTCCATGGGCAGTCGCATGCAGCATCCCATCACAGGCAGTGCCTCGTTTGTGGTGCCTGGTGCCCTTGGAAACCGGAGAATCATTTGTATGCTTCTGTTGTCAGGTATGGGTGAACTTGGAGTGGGGTACACCCAGTAAACTGACCTCCACATGGACGGCAGCTTGCAGAGTGTGGAACCTGAGCTCTCTTTCAGCTGGCTACCGATGTTGTTTTGAATCTGCCCCGTGAATCTGCTTTGCGTACCACAGAAATGCCCAGGAATCCGCTCAGCCGCTCGAAAAAGTCGGAAGCATCTTCGCACTGGGCCGAAAGATAGGTGCATTCGTGAGAACTAAGCAGTGTCGTAGCTACAGCGACCGTGTGACCTCGAAGGCAGCGGATCGTTTGGCAAAGTCTTCTACGCCGTGAATTCACAAAATGGGCAGGAGGTCGCCGTAAAGCTGGAAGATCAGAGTGGCAACTTGGCAAGAGAATGCAAGTATGTGGCCCGCACATGTGTGCATGTATATCAAGTGAATAACGGGAAAATGTGCATGTTCACTTGGTAGACTCCGACATGATGCAACCAATTGAACTTCCAATGACAAAAAGTAATAAGAACTGGTTCAACACATGTACATACCTCGTTTCATTCATCTATCTATCAACCGACTATCTAGGACGCTTTCTCCGTCTCTCTCCGTCTCTCTCCGTCTGCCTCTGTTTCGAGCTGCGTCTCTCTTCCTCCTGTCTGTTTCTCTCGCCTTTTGCCTCCTTGACTTCAGCCGTGTCGAAAAATGTGATGCCAGATTTTGCAAGATGCCAAGTTTTACTGAATGGCATAGTGCCGTTTATCGGCTGGAATACTCGTGTACAAAAGCAAGCAGATACGAGCGCACAGTAGGCTAGAATGCTAATTCAACAATAATCGCTGCTGTCATCGTTGTGGCAACAGCGGGAGCGGTTAGTCGCAAGCGGTGGTGTTGAGGTAGTGATGGTTGTAGTGGTGGGAGTGGTGGAATTGGTGTCGTTGGTGGCGGTGTTATTCTTGCCAATGAAAACTATGAATGGTACCGTAGCAGTATTTTGGTAGTGGGAGCAGTATCAACTGACGGTGGTGGCGGCGGTGGTGGTAGCAGCAGCAGCAGCAGTAGCGATAGCAGTAATAGCTGCAATATCAGTAATAGCAGTTCCAGCTTCAGCAGCAGCATCAGTGGCAGCAGCAGTAGCACTAGCATAGCAGTAGCAGTAGCGGTAGCAGTGGCAGTAGCCGTAACGAGTAGCAGGTAGCAGTAGCAGTAGGAGTAGTAGTAGTAGTAGTAGTAGTAGTAGTAGTAGTAGTTGTAGTAGTTGTAGTAGTAGTAGTAGTAGTAGTAGTAGTAGTACTGCTACTACTACTACTACTACTACTACTACTACTACTACTACTACTACTACTACTACTACTAGAAGCACAAGCAGTACCAGCACTAGCAATACGAGCTCTAGGTTAGGAGCATTGGGGGCAAGACTATCGTCAAGCCTTCGCAGCAGCATAAGTGCTGTCATCAGTTTGCGGGCGTGCTTGCACAGATGGGTGCACAGCAGGGTGGTCTTTCCGATGCTTTTTCAGCTTGAGGATTGCACCAGATGCTCCCTTACGAAGCCAAGCCGCTCGCCGAAATTCTAGCTTCGAGAGGGTGCCGTCGGTATTGTTTTGGCAGTGTATATAAGACTCATATTCATTGCATTGCGAGACTCTTGATGATGGCACGGGGGAGAGAGCGAGGGAGAGTGGGTGTGCGTTCGCGCGCGTGGGGAGTGGCCTGGATGCTGCCACGACCCTCAAGCCCGGAAGAGAGAGAGAGAGAGATATATATATATATATATATATAGGGGAGGCAGGTAAGGTGGGGGTCTCTGTAGCCTGATTGCACTAGTCGGGGAGTGGAGCTCCGCCGGCGGGGACGTGGCATGGTGAAACTAGGCTTGTCCTTGTCGTTATGCTAAAACTGAATGTTGGAATTGCAGGTTAGTCAGCCACGAGTCCCCAAAGTAGTTGTGAACTGGAGCGACACGGATGACCCAGGTGGCGCCTGAAGGTTTATACGGTCATGGGTTTAGGTCAGCTGTTGCGGTGTTCGGGGGGGTTGAGAGGCACAGTTGGGGGAACGTGGGCATCGCTCATCCCCGAAAGGGGCCTTGAGGACGAACCGACGCGAACCTTTGTGGGGTTCGGGCCAGGGTCTCCCCGGGGACGCACACCCCTTAGCAAGCAAGCAAGCAAGCAAGATATACATGTATATATGTATATATATATATATAAATATATATATATATATATATATATGTTTATAATATATGTATTATATATATATGTGTATATATATATATATATATATAGGGTGGTTGTTAAAATTAGGGTCCCGTTCTGGGCTCCCTAAATTATAGGTGCGGTACTATAATAGGTACCCAAAAAGGGACCATAATTTCGACAACCACCCATATATGTATATGTATATATTTATACATAAGATTCATCTGTTGGTGCAGCATGGCCGAGGCTTCTGAAACACCTGGAAGGGGGCGATGGCATTGCAAACGTTTACTATTCGGGAAAGGAAGGTGCCACCGGCAACCCGCAGCCAACTTTCAGCATCGCTGCAGATGTTTGCCTCGCAGGTTCCTACAATGTGATGGTGATGGACCTTCTCGGGCCATCCCTCGAGGCACTGACATATGGCACTGCGTTCTTGAGGTGTGGTATTCGGTGTCCCTTCTTGTACCCGGTTGATGTTTGGCATGCTTTGCCTTACAAGCACCTTCAGCTCCGTTGTAGTGTCGTTGTTGTGTTCGAAATGGTTCGCACAGATTTCGACGCCTGTCCATGATGGAAGTGCGAGGACCTGTTTAATTCCTGTCGGCGGACCTTCTCTGTGAAGACCGTCATGATGCTGGCTAACCAGATGATATCAAGGATCCAGTATCTCCATGCGAAGGAGAACAGTCTGTTTTCTTGCCGCTTCTCTGATAGCTTGATGTTTTATCAAATGTTACAGGGGCCTGCTGTTGGACAAACTGCCCCACCGTATGTGAGCTTATGCTTTTGCGCATGGTGCAGAAGCCTCGCAGGACTTCGTTCACCGAGACTTGAAGCCAGACAACTTCCTTGTCGGAGCTGGGAGGAACTGCAATACCGCGCCTCAGCTAGTGCTAGTGTCTCAAAAAGTATACCGGCGCCTTTGGGCAAGGGCCATCGCCATGCAGGTTCACATTATCGACTTCGGCTTGGCGAAGCGATATCGCAACTCCAAACGTCAGCACATTCCCTTCAGTACACCAGCAGCACCATTGGATGCCGGTATAACTTCAGCATGTGCAGCTGCTGCAATGTGGCATGCTGTCACAGTCAAGGTCAGCGAAAGAGCTTGACGGGAACAGCCCGATACGTTCCAAGCTTAGTTCCTGGATGAATGAGGTGAAGACATGCGAAGACTGCCCAGCAGAATATACAATTTGATATATCGTTTTAGATTCGGTTAAATGTTGGTACAGTATATTGGGCTAGTTTATACAATGTCAAACCATAGTGTACGGGATATCAATGTATAGACCTGTATTGTATGCAGATTATCGAAATATATTTACTATACTGATTCAAGTTTTACCCTGTGATAGTTTGCTTTGCCAGATTCGCTTACAGTATATTGTGATGTTATGTTATGCTATCTTATGCAGTGTTATGTTACAGCCCCTGAGGCCTCGGTCAACGCCCATAAGGGCGCCGAGCAGAGTCGCCGCGATGACATGGAGGCACTGCTCGGCCTCGGCCTGCTCGGAGTAGTCGTGACTTTCACGGCGCATGCGGCGCAGGCCTTGGGCTACATCCTGCTCTATTTCAGCCGCGGGATGCTGCCGTGGCAGGGCCTGCAGGCATGCGGCAAGCACGACAACGTTTCTTCGCCTCATTTCCGACGCTTCGTTTGCTGCACAGGCGCAAACCAAAGAGCAAAAATATCAGACACTCGGATCGGGATCACGGCAATTAGTCTCTTACTGCAGCTGTGGATTCCGAGGAAGATTATGGAGAAAAAGCAAGGAGTGAGTGTGCAACAGCTGTGCGAAGACTGCCCTCCAGTTCTCGCAACATATGCTGCTGAACCGCACTATGCTTGCATCTTCTGTTTATTCCAAGCTGAATCGTGTGCGAGGCATGACGCTTGGTTGACAATCTAAAGGCATCTAGTTTTCTGTGCAGCCAGCTTTCGAAGCTGCGGCCACACAGTCAGATGTGCAGACACGTGGTGGCTGGGCTGCGCATCTTACGACGTTTCGCAAACCAAACTGGAGCACGATGGAGCACGTGGCAAGTCTACCGACGCTAGAAGCTGGCAGCAAGCACGGTTCCGAGACTTTCAGGCTTGCTGCCACCCGTTCATGTGGGTGGTTGTCAAAGGATCGCTGTTGGGTTCCCGAATTGTGCGATGCTGTCTTTAAAATGGAATCATACAGGGTTCCCCAAAAGGGACCATGATTTTGGCACTTATCCATCTAGTGCTTGTGTTGCAGCATGTCGGAACATGTCTGCCATCAGACTCATGAAACCTAAAGAAGGCGTGAGTCTGAAATCGCGCAACCCAGATTCGGAAGCAACCGTGAAAGTGATGGAACACTGTACCGAATCCCTTTATGACTTGCACCGAGTTGGTAGTACGCAGCCAGAGCGGGCATCGGTAGAAGCATTCGAACCAGCATCTCTTGTGGGGAGGTTTTTCCAAGGAAAGACAAAGCCTATTTCGGCATCTGCTTTCACAGCTTTTCTACGATGGCCGATGGTAGCGTCGAAGACAGGCAAGTCATGAAAACAGAAGAGG